CCAGGTAATCATTGACGAGAACTAGTAATTAGGATCAAAGTAAGAGAGATCACAAGGTGGCGTTAGACGCTTACAAGGATCAAAGTGTACAGGATCACGGATATGACGGGACGAAGAAGAATAAACAGCAAAGAAGGAAAATTTATCAAGACCCAATATATTGGAGGGTGGGAAAGAACGTCCTCCAATATATTGGGTCTCAATAAATCTTCCTTCTTGTATGACTATTCTCCTTCGTCTCCGTCGTATCCGTGCTCCTGTACACTTGCTGCTGAAGACGCCCTGCTGGGGCGGGTGGACTGTGCATAGGGAGTTACTCTGCACAGGAGCGAGCCTGATTGGGGGCCCTCACGTTTGGGTCATACCAACGAAGACAGCATTCAGTCAGGGCCGCTATCCGGCCCGTGATTGTCATGAAATCCGTGTACAGATCTCAAAATTATCGTCGCAACTTATGTCGTTGCAACAATCAGTGAATGTAGCCTCTTCCCTAGATCATTATTTAGCGTGGAGAGCACGCATAGCAGACCGTAGAGCCTTCGAAAGGAACGTAAGCACTGTACCTAACATAACTCTTTGAAGTGACTATGAAAAGAAGATTCTGGTTTACCTTCGGGGAGTAACCCTTTTGGGCTTTTCTGGGCATTTCTTTATGTTCTACACAAAATGTTTACTCTTCAAGACATCACCAGTGTTGAGTTGTTTCGAAAAAGGAATTTAAAAAGTTCAATAATTATCTGTATCATGCCTATAATTATCTGGTGCTTGAGACATGTCATACTTACACTGCTCGCATCAACGTATTCTTCCATTCTATAAAGGGAATAATCGTCGTAGAGAGTATCCGGAGGATGGTCGCAGATTTGAACTGGCTCGAGAAGAATGATCTCTTTGCGACCATCACGTCGAGGTTGCACCGTTTCGTAGATTTCCTCAGTGCACCTGGGCTAAGGATAGATTCAATTCTCCACCGACGAAAAACGTTGTGTTAAAAAAACTACTTTTCAACTCTCCCGGCCTCCAAACATTGCTCATTAATTAGTTTTTAACTAGAATTATGTAACTTCGCTTCGAGGAGTAAAACTTTGAGAAAACTTTCATTTCTTGAAAAAGGGGTCTTGGCACAAATGATATGTAAGTTAAGAAAAGATACAGAAGAAGCAAGAGTAAGGAAAATATGAGAAGTCGTTGGGGAAGGCACTCGTTCTCGACCATTGTAGTCAGTTTTTGAGCCCATTCTGCACTATTTTTTTCTCTGAGAATTTTAGTTTTTCCAGCTCCATCATATGCCGACCGTTTTCTTTGTCAATGTTCCGTCAGTATATAACTTTTTCGCTAAGAGGCGTTTTTTGCTCCATCAAGTAGAGCCTCATCTGTACTACCACTTTCTGTTGGTTCCCCACTGAAGAATGGGTCACTGTGAAGAAGCTTGGGCTTGTGCTGTCCGAGAAACAGGGTCATTAATCGAACACTGGATGTTCACATCCTCTGTGGTTACAGCTCCGTCAACCCAGTCAATATGTTACCAGCTCATGAACAGCCCCTAGTTCGGGTCTCATAAAAGACGCATGAAGCAAAACGTCACAAGGAATAATATTATGGGTATCGTGGATTGGCTGGGGAATTTCCCTTTTCTGTGCTTTCATTAAGCTTGTTTCTTAACCTCATGCGCATCTCCATCAACAAACTGGTTATTTTACAAGCTCTTCAACACTTTGGTGTTGTATAAGGAGGTGAGGAATTTCCTTCGACAGATTTTCGAAAGCAGGTACAGAAAGTGTTGTGCAGAATGAGAAGAAGTAAGACCTATCTATGTAGCAAGAAGGTAGTCTCAAATGTATGCTGGACCATTTTTATGCTACTATGTTCCAACTAAGACATAACGCTTTAGGAAATGTGAAGCAGATTCAATAAAAATTAACCTCGGATGGCGTTTCACGAAGCGTACGATTTCTGGAGCACCTTCCGTTGGCCTGCAACTCTATTTATGAATTAAGTTAAATAAGCATGAAATTGAAGAAACGGTAATGACCTTTGTGTCCTTTTCCTTCTGTAAACCTCCAATGATTCTTCTTCCTGCCACGCCCCTTGTGGAATTTTCATGTCCCCAGGTGAAACACGATGGGCTGAATTGAATCTTTCAGTTCACAAGTCTTTTTTCCTTATAATTTTGGAAACATTCTACACTTCTGTTCTAGCCACTACAGGTATATAAGGGTATTGAAGTAAAAAAAACTGAGTTATAAAAGAAACTAAGTTAACTTAGTTTAAAAAGCTGCGATAAAAACCATTCTCCTTGCCTAGTAAAGGATTCATTTTTTGAAATAAAAGGGCTGGATGTTTTAATTCTTGGAAGCAAAGTGGTGCGGCTTCCTATGAGTGACTACTTGAAAGATATGGGGAACTACTAATTTGCTGTTTTGACCTTCTCCCATATTCCTTCCCCAATTCCTCCTTCCGTTAATGGAACCTAGCTGTCACGTCTACCGGCTATGCAGATTGGAATATCATTTGCCTTACTTTTTGGAATGAATAATTCGGGGGAACTCACGCTTGGATGGCGGTAGATGGCTATCCATTGAAGCTTTTGGAGGTAACAGAGATGAGGCTTTCGAAGCTTAAAAGTAGAACCTTGGATGGTCGAATGGTAAAACTAAAAGAATGAGGAAAGCAAGAATGTGCGTTCCGAGTGAATCTGACGATTTGCTATTCGCAAGAGCAGCAGCGCCAGAGGCGATGAATCAGACGCGAAAATTCTCCGTCTTCCTTCTGAAATTAAACAAAACTCGAATACGAAAACATCATGCCATATGAGTCGTCCGAAAGTGAATGCGTATGTGTGTCTGATTTCTTGTAAATATCACATATTGTATATGTACATCATGCTGTACTGAGTTGAACACCATTCACCCCTCTAAATGAAATGAAAAGCAAAAAGAAGAAGACTAAACGGTTCATCTTACAGACAGATCACCCCTCCGACGGCTTCACTCCTGCCTTCATAACATACATAACAGGGATTTATGACAAAATCTAACAAAATTGTTCACTTGAATTTTAAAACCTCTCCGACGTTAAGGGCCTTTGCCATGTCCATGTTTAGCTTCTGTCCCTCCACTGTGTCCCCTTGTGTCCCTCCAATTAAAATCAATAGAAAGTATAGTAAAACTGACAAGCTTTTTGACACTTTGGTTTCTATGCCGTCGCCTTACCCGTAATAAGGCGAGCACCTTCCCAGGCACATTTTAGTATTTCACCCTGGAGACAGGAAGCATCCCATTTGTCTCTGACCTTATAAATAATTCAAAAAATCAGATTCGCGCTGAAGAAACTTGATCGAAGGGATTTCCATGAAGTAGTCCCAGATCACTGTTACTTCCTCCACCGCTGACTTCGACGTTCAAAACCATGGTCCTACTGACACCCAATCGAAAAAGATTTCTTCTATTTATCAAACTGATACCCTGGACTTATTCTCATACACGATTGTGACACTAAGTTGAATCCCCTTAGCATTTCTTGGAGCATGTAGATAGAGGATTTGATAGCCAATACATTGCCAAAAATCTTGATAACCACTCCTGAAGGTTAACTTCGAGTTCCTGTTCCGAAATTCCATTGTGATGAGCTAACAATGGGAAGGAATTTGACGGTTCAAGAATGCACCTCCCGAAACATCGTCAGGAACGATTAAAGCACTGCAAAATGGTGGTTGAGGCTTTTCCCACGATGACGGCGCAATCTGAGAGCTCAGAGATGTGATGATACTCAGACGAATACAAAGCTTTTGGTAAAAATCGTCAAATTACCC